GTCCGCCCTGGTCTCCGCCCTCCAGGCCCCAGACGGGGGCCAGGCCGAAGTTGGTGCGGTTATGGTCCGCACCAACGGAGTTGGCAAGGGGCGGTACGCCAGGTGTGACCTGCCCATTCGGCTGGCTCCACGCGAGTGAGGGTGGGGTGGAGCTCCTGTAGGCTGAGGATCCTCGAAGACAAGGGTCCTCAGTGCTACAGGTGCCTGGAGCGAGGGCACATTGCGGCCGCCTGCAAAGGTCCGGACCGCAAGGGTGCCTGCTTCAGGTGCCGAAGGGTGGGGCACCTGTCCAAGGACTGCCCCGGTCCCCAAGTTAAGGGGACCAAGGGAGGGGCTGTTGAAAAGCCCCGGGGAGAGGTGTCGGCGGTCCAAGGGACCCCTAAGGCGTCCTGTGCGCCGCCCACCAGTGGATGAGGTTCCTTCAAACGAACCTCAACCATTGTAGGGCGGCGCAGGATCTGGTCCGGCAGGCGGTATACGAGATGCGCATCGACGTGTGCGTAATCTCGGAACCGTTTGTCGGACTGATCAAGGACGCCCCGGGGTGGTACTTGGACCGGTCCGGGAGAGCGGCGATCGGTGTGATGAGCCGCGGCCTCACGGTCGCGGACATCGAGGTTGGCGACGGCTTCGTAGCGGCGAGGATTGACGGCATTGACGTCATGAGCTGCTACGCGTCGCCAAACCAGCCGATCGCCCCTCTCCTGGAGGGTGTCGCCCACAGCCTGCGGGGCAGACGTTCCTCGGGTCTGCGTGGTGGCAGGGACGTACTCGTCGCCGGGGACTTTAACGCTAAGTCCCCGGTATGGGGATCCGCTTCGGCGGACCAGCGTGGCGACGAACTGTTGGACGCCATGGCGGCCTTAGGGCTGTCGACGGCCAACAGGGGAAACACCCCGACGTTCGTGGGTAACACCTCGAGCTCGGTGGTGGACGTCACGCTGGCGTCGCCGTCGGTCCTCGGACGTATTGCCGGTTGGTCCGTTCTCTCCCACGTGGAGAACATGAGCGACCACCGGTACATCACGTTCGAGTGTACCGACGGCAGGCG